TTGATATAATAGTCAACTACATGAATAAAGTTGTTTAGTCTTATGGACTTTTAAAATTTTAATCGGTTCCCCCAGATAACCACATGAAACTGCTCACGTTTTTGGTAAGACCATACAGTGCAAACAAGGTGGATTGCACTTAAATGTTTTTGTCATGAGGTTACAGCTCAATGAAAAAATATGATTCACTGGGTATGATTTACTTTAAATACCTCTCAAATTAGTTTTATTTGCACAATGGAATTATATTCATTACTGTTTTTTTCTGTTGACTGATGATTTATTGCGTTTTCCAATCAAATGCAGAATAATAATGACTCCAAAGAAGAAAGTAATGAAATATTTTATCATAAACTTTGAGACTACTTGTAAGTAGTTTGTGATTCATTTAACAAATATCCGAAGAACCCGATTATCAAGAATTTTTAAAGCATGTGGTAGAAGATTGATAAATTAACTGATGTGATGTTTTTACCATTTGTGTAGTAATTCATTCCATTCTATTATAACAGTTTTGTAAACTTACAACAAATAACCAAAGTACATAATAATGTATCAGCAACGCATTGAAATCACAATCAGGAGTATGGATAAAAATAATTATTAAATGAACTGATTTTATTTATTTTCCGAAATAAGGAATGACTTGTATACAGTTTAAAATAACGTAGCTCTTAACTTAAAGAGTTCATGACTTTTTCGTGATGAACAAAAGCCAGTATTTAGTCATATAATCACAATAAACTTGGCTAAATAAATTGAATTCTTTATTGTGCAGAATAAATGTAGCCACCAAGGGTATGTTCCTGACTAATAAAAAAGTTACCAGAGTTATTCTGTGAACATGTGATGTCTGTTGTCTTTAGATTCTTTACAATATGTATAGCGAAATGGGTAGATGAAGAAATTCATACTCCTCAATAAATTTATGGATACACTCAGAGGCGGCTAGTTGAGTTGCAATCTGCACGAAAACTAAACATTGAGAAGAATTTACCAGTTGGATAACACTGTTTTGAAAGACGAATGAAAGTACTTAGGGTTTCTTCAAAATATAATAAGACTTTTTTCCACAACATCATCTTTCGTACTTCATGGCAAACTTTTTAATACACTATCTACTGAATAGTCATTGAATCATGAACTCAAACAATTGATTTGCTTTAATATGATGAGTATACAGTCAACCGTTATTTCGTCTGAATAATTTCAACTGGACAAGTAATACTTTGAACAATTATTGGTTTTCTTAACCATAAACTAGAAACTTTTCTAATTACCTGATAATCTATATTCATAATAGTTGAAAACGGTTTATTGATTCGAATGATTATGTCTAACACTGAATACCGTGAATAATAAATAAACTCTAATTCCTCTTGTTCTTGCTGCTCCTAGCTTCTGTATGAGGAATAGTCATATTTTAAGCTGAAGATTTATGAAACCATCAGAGTAACTAGGTGCATATTTATTGCTAATAACTATTCACACGAAGTCCCCGAAAATATGGTGAATAATTAGCGCCCGTTAGGACTGTATTTTAAACTGTAGGAGTTAGCTTAAAATCTTCTCTGTTGGTAATTACCTTCTACAAAGTGTATAAGAAAACTACAGCGTCCACTTAGATTCAAATTATTCTTTAGTACGGATTTGCATTTATTTACACCTCTATGTATACAGAAAAGCTAAAACAGATGAATCGCTTTGAGCTTATTTCAAAGTAAGCATCTAATAACGTATAGGAATTTTAGTTCTAGAGGACTTTAACACTAGATTGTTTGTTGTAATAGCGGTAGTGACTTTCGTTAGTAGCATCAACCTAAACTTACTTACTTGCGCATGTCACCGACCAATGTTCTCAAATCAACTCTGTCCCGAGCTTCTCTTTGAAATTCTTTCCAATTTTTGTTCATTCTGATCATGTCTTTCTCTATTTCTCGAAGTAATGTGTTTCTTGGCTTTCCTCTTTTCCTTTGAACGTCTGTGCACAATTTTTCAGTTGAATTCATCATAAGAATCCCGTATGATATTGACTATCTTCTCAGGCACACCGTAGTGTCGAAGAAGCCTCCACAGTGTTTTTCTATCCACGCTGTCGAATGCTTTCTCGTAGTCGATGAAGTTGATGTAGAGTGGTGAGTTCCATTCAATTGATTGTTCCACAATGATCCGTAATGTAGCAATTTGGTCAGTACACGATCGATCCTTACGAAATCCGGCCTGTTGATCTCGAAGTTGGGCGTCTACGAAGTCGTTCATTCTGTTTAACAATACCCTGTTGAAGACTTTGCCTGGTATTAAAAGAAGAGTGATGCCCCTGTAGTTCTCACACTTGCTGAGATCGCCTTTATCTGGTATTTTGATCAGGTATTATTCTTTTCAGTCTATCGCTAATTGTTCTTCATCGCAAATCTTGTTGAAGAGAATTGAAATATTTTTGAAATTGCCTCCTTATCTGTTTTTGTTTCCTCTGCTAGAATGTTGTCAGGTCCTGCTACTTTGCCGCTCTTCATTTGTGAGATGTCCATACTGATCTCTTCAATTGTTGGTGGGCCAACATCGATTGCTCGGACCATAGATGCTGCTTCGATTTTGGGTGGACCCAGAGGTGCTGGCCGACTTGAGAGTTCCTTAACGTGCTCCACCCACTTGTTTTGCTGTTCTTCAGTGTTGCTGATTACTCTAGCTTCCTTGCCTTTCATTGGTCGTTCTGGTTTACCATGGTTTCCAGTGAGGTTCGTTGTTGTTTCGTACAATCGTCTCATGTTTCCTTTTGCTGCAGCCTTTTCCGCCGTCACTGCTAGATCTCCCACACATTTACGTTTGTCAGCTTTGATGCTCCTCTTCACATGCTTGTTTTTTTCTGTGTATTCAGTGTGTGCCTTTGCTTTCTCCGCTCTTGTTTGGCTGGCGTTATTCAATGCCCTTTTGTTCCTACTTCCTTCGATTTTTTCAACAGTAACAACAGAGATCCATTTCTTGAAGTGGTACTTCCTGTCGCCCAGAACCTAGTGACATGATGAAGTGTTTGCCTCCTTGATCTCATCTCAACTGTTCTTCACTGTTGTTTCCTCTCCACTGAGTGTATCGTTCAAGGCCTGGAACATCAACCTAAAATGTGGACGAATTTCTACAGACGTCATCAACTTTTTACAACATAAACGGTATTTTGAGATCCATCTGTATTAGTGCTACACAAGACAAAGAATAGAGTTTTCTTAAAGGAAGAGTGAGAAAGTCTACTCCGAGATCATGAGTGGTGATAGATCATGAAATCAAAATAGATGGGGAAAACCCAGCTGCCGTGGTTAATGAGAAATATCAATCTGTTCATCTCAAGAACACCACGATGCGATGGTTAGTAACTCCTACACCAAATAACTTGCATGATCATAGAAATACTTCAGCAACATTTGGATTAGCCTTTAACTCAGCCTGACGTCAGAATTAGGAATTCAGATGCGGACAATGTTGGAAATAATGCGCAGGCTCAAAGGGCCAGATAAATGTTGATTTAATATTTTTAGAGGGAGTAATTGGGAATTTTGGCGATCAGCAAATGGTGATCTGAAGCTATATCTGCTCCTCTCCTGGTTCTCACATCCTCCATAGTCCTTCTGAACATTTGTTGATACAGATATGATCAATCTGGTTTTGAGTAGTGTGATCCGGTGAAATCCATGTGGCTTTGTGTATGCGTTTGTGCGGGAATATTGTGCCACCGATGACCAGTTTGTTGAAGGCACATAGGTTTGCAAATCTCTCACCGTTTTCGTTCCTTTCTCCCAGTCCATGTCGTCCCATGATGTCTTCATATCCAGTGTTGTCCATTCCAACCTTGGCATTCAGGTCTCCCATAAGAATCGTCAAATCCTTTGGTGAACATTTCTCGACGATTGACTGCAGCCTTTCGTAGAATTGATCTTTAACGTCGTCATTGTAGTCATTGGTAGGTGCATAACATTGGATGACGTTCATTGTAATGTCCTGTTTCTTTGTTTTGAAGGATGCTTTGATGATCCTGTGTCCATAAGATTCCCATCCTATCAGTGCCTTTTGTGCATGTTTGGACACCATCAGTGCAACTCCTTGTGTATGTGAAGCTTTCTCGTCTTCATAACCAGAGTATAACAGCAGTTCCCCTGAAGCTAGTCTCAGTTGTCCTACCTGTGTCCAATGCGTTTCACTGATGCCGAGCACCTCGAGGTTGTATCTTTTCATTTCTGCCGCAACTTGAAATAGTCTTCCAGTCTCCCACAATGTACGAACGTTCCATGTACCTAAAAAAATGGTTGCTCTGGTTGTCAGAAGAGGCATCGGCCCCGTGACTTCCGAGGGAACTCGGCTTTCATCACGCGACGTCATAATTCTTCCTCCAACTCCCAGGGCAGAGTTAAAATGGTTTGAATTATTTTTTCTGGTTAGCGTTTTTTTGGCAAGTGAGATTTCGACGGAATGGGGTCGCCAACCCCATGTCCA